TGGAGGCATGGAGGAGAGGTGAAGGTGGAGGGTATATGGAGGACAGATGGAGGAGAGATGGAGGAAAGACGGACAGGTGGAGGACGAAGGTGGAGGCATGGAGGAGAGATGAAGGTGGGGATATGGCAGGGAGACTGGGATATGGCGAGCACCGAGTCCAGGAACAGGAAACAACGGAAAAAAAAAAACGAGCGGTATTTCCAGCGTTTTCCAGCGGAGGGGATATGGCGAGGAGATGGGGGGTTATAGTAGGACCTGGAGGATGACGAAGGAGAGTAGAGATGGAGGAGGACAAGAGGTGGAGGGAGGAAAAGACAGTACATGAACCCCTAAAGTGCGCTGTACATCAAGCCCTAACGGCCCCTGCGCATCAAGCCCTACAGGCCCCTATAGATCAGCATGACCCCTGCACAAGGATGACAAACGAAAATCGAGAAAAGGTCGAACAAAAAAATCAGGCTCCTTCGGGACATCCGTTGCAATGGGAACGACACAGAGATGATTACCATGACCCTGACGCAAGGATGACACACGATTCGAGAAAAGGTCCAAAAAAAAAAAAAAAAAAAGCTCAATAGATTGGATTATTTTCGTAATCTCTGTCGGATTTATCTTCTAACGTCCTCCCTCCCTCTCCTTTCCCTTAGAAGCCAGCCCCAAATAGTAGTCCTAGCATTCCGGTTTATAAGACAGCACTGCGGAAAGAGCTAGGAGCTAGGCGTCTCAGAGGATCGGAAGATAGTGAATATAGGCTAGCATTCAGGTTTATCAGACAGCACTCAGTGGAAAGAGCTAGAAGCTAGGCATCTCAGAGGATCAGAAGATAGTGGATTCGGCAGGGGTGAGGGGTGGTATATCCTTCCCTTAGGGAAGTAATCAATGCCGTCCACTCCGGCCTCTCAACCATAATGGGGAGGAGCGTGAGCGTGTTTTCATTGTATTTATATTTGACTTGCCGGGTGAAGAGGAACCGGACTGTTGCTCCCCCCCCCCGTCACAAAAAAAAAAAAAAAAAAAAAAAAAAGATTGGATTATTTTTGAAATTTCGATACCTAGGTGAGAGAGGAGGAGGACGAGGTGGACTCAGAGGTCGTGCTAATCTTTGCTGTATCGTTCCCAATCCTCCTCCGTTTCGTGACTTTGGGAACGATACAGAAAGATTAGCACGACCTCTGCGCAAGGATGACATGCACAAAATTTAATCGAGAAAACGTTGGGGAAAAAAAAAAGCTCAATAGACTCGATACCTGGGTGGGAAAGGAGGAGGACTGGGACGACGAGGGCGACGAGGAAGGGGAGGAGGACAGGGCGACAAGGGTGACGAGGAAGGGGAGGAGGAGGAGGAGGAGGGCGACGAGGGCGACGAGGAAGGGGAGGAGGAGGAGGAAGAGGAGGAGGCGGAGGAGTAGGAGGAGGAGGGCGACGAGGTAGGGGAGGAGGAGGAGAATGAGCGGGAGGAGAGGAGAAGCATGCAGAGGAGGCAGTGAGGAGGATGAAGGGGAGGTCGAGGCCGGTGATACTCACCGGGCAATGGTGGCAGCTCCTCCCTCACAAGGCAGCACGGCAGCACGACAGCACGGCAGCACTTCAGCACGGGGCGGCACTTGAGAATGGCGGCAGGTCCTCCTTGAAATGGCAACGGCACTCCTCGCAGGAATGGCCGTGGCCGACCAGAAACCCACCCAAGAGGCCCAGCCAAGCCCACCCACACAGGGTACAAACAGGTTTCGAAAATTCGAAACCTCGCGGTCCGGCCTTGAGCGCGGGCCAAAAAAAATTTTTTTTGGATGAGTTTTGGCGGGGGCCTCCAATGTGTCGTTTCGACCCCCGCCTCTTTTTTTTTTTTTGGGGGGGGGAGGGTTCGGGCCGTTCCCCGCACACCTCGTGCGCCGCGCGGGAACGGTCAGGCGCGTGCGCGGAACGTCGGGAAACTCGCGCACTACGTGCGCTTGCAAGTATGGTTGGAGTCATCCTTTGCGACTCTGAGTCTGTCACACGGCGGGTTCATGCGTGCGATCAACTTTCACCTCCGTGCGCTAATATTTTTTAAAATGTTACGGTCCTGGTCATTTCGAAAGTGCAAATTCACCATGAAAGACAATGCCACCCAATTGCGAAAGAAATGAAAGCACTTGCAAAGAGATAGAGACCAGAGGAGAGAGAAAGAAGAAGA